TCTTTACACTGAACGATGGGTGAGTTGAAATAGGCAACAAAGGCATGCTGCCCATTCCTTCATTTCTAATAAAAGCCATGTTTTATAAAACAAAGTAAAGTGATTGTGGCGTCATAAGCTACCTGTCTCCTCCCAGGCTGCACAGCTTCTGGATGATGAACACACGACGGGCAGAACCTCTGCTGGGTCGGTTCGGATGTTAAGAACCCAAATGTTCCCTCTCTGGGCAGATTTCAGGCAAAAATCAAAGTTTGCTCTCCGTCACCTCCAACATGCAGCGGAATAAAGTTGAGTTTATTTGTATTCAAAGTGTCTCCGGGTAGGCTCCTTCCTTCAAACACAGCCTGTAGGATTACAAGACAGAGGTCTCACTCRGCTGTTTTTTTCAAGACACCAAATAAGTCATTACGAACTCCGGCGGGAAACGGACACTTCCCGCTTTTCAAATTAAGAGTTTTTGAAAAACAAACACTTACGCACTAAAGATTATTGTAATACTACTTTGATCTGTTTCTGATCATTGTAAATGCACTTTGACTTATATTACATAAGTGTTAATTTTCTTATATTTTACTTTTTAATATAATTATTAGTTTGAAAGGTAAATTTCTTCAAAAGCGATTTGTCTCATGAGGAGTCTTTATTTGTTCAGTGAAACTGGTTAACATTAGTTTAATTTGCTAAATAAAATAAACACCCACAATTCTCTAAAGTAATCATTGTCGCCCACTGCCTTATTGTCAGTTTCAGACTAAAATACTCTAATCTAAAACGAGATCAAGATCATCTAAAATTACAAACTTGCGAAATTTTATGAACTCTTACACTCAGAATACATGTTGTAAATGACTTTGCAAACTTTAGCACAATAACCATAAAACTGACTGGATCACGGTATTATTTGGGCTTTTAAGGTTTAAGGTTTTAGCATAAAACACTATACAATATTCAAATCCAATAAATTGTTTGTTGAAAAAAAAATTCATTCATAAATAAACAAAATCKCTCAAACACATATTCTGGGTCTCTGGGAACAAGACAGTCTCAGTGCCAGGAGGATTTTACAAAAAAAGGCACAAAGTAAAACCCAATTGTATAAAAATAAATGCAAAATTAGGTCAACTTGTTAT